AAATGTGCGTATATGTAAGCAGCAACAGCCCCTTTTTGCTAGTCACTGCTGAGAGAGAGAGAGAGAGAGAGAGAGAGAGAGAGAGAGAGAGAGAGAGAGATTATACCGCACTACCGTCTCTGGCTTTTAATGTTTCAACAGAGAAAAGTGCTTAGCTGTGTGATAACTGGGATATGCACAATACGGTTAATGGAAACACTGTCAACAGGCTGTAAACTGCCCGGGCTTTCTTAATGGGGTGCTAATCAGCATTAGGGAACGGCCCTTCTGGGGGGGAATATACAGCTGCCTCAGAGACTATACTGTTACTGTAGTATAGGCCTATCACCGAGGAGGGACTGCTCCTCTATTACATGGCTTATTGCATTAGCCTCACATGTATTACATGTCTTATAGCATAGCCAGCAGTGGTGGTCGTGAGGTTTAAGATGAGGGAGGACAAATCTTTTTTTAATGAGCATGGCCTTATTTCTATTACAGCATATTAGATGACTGTCATTCATATTCCATTCACCCAGCTCAATGTAACATTGATAGGTTTAGGCTACTACATGATACTCAAGTTTTCCCTTTACCCAACCTAGCCTATGAATGAAAGTTTATAACGTAGGTGCACAGGTTGAGAGAAAATTGTAAGTAATCAAGGTGACAGACAGTGACACATTCAATACCGCCTTGCACACTCTTGCCTGCATCTAGCTAATCTAGGGTGTAGTCATTAGTCCAACAGTTACAAACTAGAGTTTCTATTGGACAAATTCTGGTATGTTTATCCCCATTTCGTTCCGATTGCTTCCATTTAAGAAATTATTTTCAACAGAATCGTCAGAATGAATACACCCCTGATCACACGCAAACAGTTCACTTTCATAGCCACATACAAACAGCATGATCATTTTGCTTGTATAATTCCTTCTTGCATCTACTCCTCTCACGTTTTCACTTCGCTTGTGGACTTCAGTGCACAACACATCAGCTGTCTGTGACCAGGTAAAAAAAAATTTCCAAGCCAAACCTGCATATCATAACCGCTAACTGCTTCACACAGCCTACATCATTGTCACCATATTAGCGAACGTCATAGTCAAACTAGCTACTAGAACTAAATTGTTAGTAAACCAGCTACAATCATGGAGTACAGTGCACAGTGCCTTCGGAAAGTATTATGACCCCTTGACTTTTTCCACATTTTGTTACGTTACAGCCTTAATCTAAAATGGATTTTAAAAATCCTCAGCAATCTACACACAATACCCCATAATGACAATGCAAAAACTGGTTTTTAGAAATCTTTGCAAATGTATTAAAACTAAAAAACAGAAATACCTTATTTACAGTATTCAGACCCTTTGCTATGAGACTCGAAATTGAGCTCAGGTGCATCCTGTTTCCATTGATCATCCTTGAGATGTTTCTACAACTTGATTGGAGTCCACCTGTGGTAAATTCAATTGATTGGATGTGATTTGGAAAGGCACACACCTGTCTATATAAGGTCCCACAGTTGACAGTGCATGTCAGAGCTAAAACCAAGCCATGAGGTTGAAGGAATTGTCCGTAGAGCTCCGAGACAGGATTGTGTCGAGGCACAGATCTGGGGAAGGGTACCAAAACACTTCTTCAGCATTGAAGGTCCCCAAGAACACAGTGGCCTCCATCATTCTTAAATGGAAGGAGTTTGGAACCACCAAGACTCTTCCTAGAGCTGGCTGCCCGGCCAAACTGAGCAATGGGGAGAAGGGCCTTGGTCAGGAAGGTGACCAAGAACCCGATGGTCATTCTGACAGAGCTCTAGAGTTCCTCTGTGGAGATGGGAGAACCTCCCAAAAGGACAACCATCTCTGCAGCACTCCACCAATCAGGCGTTTATGGTAGAGTGGCCAGATGGAAGCCACTCCTCAGTAAAAGGCACATGACAGCCCACTTGGAGTTTGCCAAAAGGCACCTAAAGACTCTCAGACCATGAGAAACAAGATTCTCTGGTCTGATGAAACCAAGATTAAACTCTTTGGCCTGAATGCCAAGCGTCACGTCTGGAGGAAACCTGGCACCATCCCTACGGTGAAGCACGGTGGTGGCAGCATCATGCTGTGGGGATGTTTTTCAGCGGCAGGGACTGGGAGACTAGTCAGGATCGAGGCAAAGATGAACGGAGCAAAGTACAGAGAGATCCTTGATGAACACCTTCTCCAGAGCACTCAGGTTCTCAGACTGGGTCGAAGGTTCACCTTCCAACAGGATAACGACCCTAAGCACACAGCCAAGACAACGCAGGAGTGGCTTTGGGACAGGTCTCTGAATGCCCTTGAGTGGCCCAGCCAGAGCCCAGACTTGAACCCGATCTAACATCTAACATCTCTGGAGAGACCTGAAAATAGCTGTGCAGCAACGCTCCCCATCCATACTGACAGAGCTTGAGAGGATCTGCAGAGAAGAGTGGGAGAAACTCACCAAATACAGGTGTGCCAAGTTTGTAGCGTCATACCCAAGAAAACTTGAGGCTGTAATCGCTGCCAAAGATGCTTCAACAATGTACTGAGTAAAGGGTCTGAATACTTATGTAAATCCGAGTGGCGCAGCGGTCTAAGGCACTGCATCTCAGTGCTTGAGGCATCACTACAGACCCCCTGGTTCGATTCCAGGCTGTATCACAACCGGCCGTGATTGGGAGTCCCATAGGGCGGCGCACAATTGGCCCAGCGTCGTCCGGGTTTGGCCGGTGTAGGCTGTCATTGTAAATAATAAATTGTTCTTAACTAACTTGCCTAGTTAAATAAAGGTAAAATAAAAAATGTAGTATTTCCGTTTTTAATTTGTATAAATTAGCTACAATTTCTAAAAACCTTTTTATTGTGTGTAGATTGATGAGAAAAATGTGGAACAAGTTAAGGGGTCTGAATACTTTCCGAAGGCACTGTGCAGTTAGCAAGCAGTTTAGCAGTTAAACCGGCGGGTCCCAGTAGCAATAAATTAATCAAACCAAAAGCTTACCTTGACTTGGAAGAGTTCCAGTGTTGGATAGACATAAACAGCTAGCTAACATAGCATCCCTCTCTATTTGAGCCGGGTGTTTGAGTAGGCTAAACTAGCTAGCTTCATTCGCTAGCTAAGTGAAAGTGAAGAAACAATACAACAAAATATAGCTAGCTCTCTCTCTTGCTTCTCCTTCAAGACATTGTTTTTTTTTTTTTTTTTTTTTTTTAGGGGGTAGATCAGATTTAATATTGCAGATAGATTTTAACTTCCATCAATGTAGTTGTCTGCATCACTTCCAATGTTAAAAAATAAATAATAATTTAAAGACATTTATTAAAGACAGTTATTTGTTCAAAACTGTTCAACTATTGTCTTTCTCTCTCTTTGAGTCAACTACTCACCACATGTTATGCACTGCAGTGCTAGGTAGCTATAGCTTATGCTTTCAGTACTAGAGTAATTATCTGATCCTTTGATTGGGTGAACAACATGTCAGTTCATGCTGCAAGAGCTCTGATAGGTTGGAGGACGCCCCCCGAAGTTGTCATAGTTACTGTGTAAATGTATGGAAGGGGGTGAGAACCATGAGCTTCCTAGGTTTTGTATTGAAGTCAATGTACCCAGAGGAGGACGGAAACTAGCTGTCCTCTGGCTACACCATGGTGCTACCCTACGGAGTGCTGTTGAGGCTACTGTAGACCTTCATTGCAAAACAGTGTGTTTTAATCAATTATTTGGTGATGTGAATATATTCAGTATAGGTTTATCTAAAAAGGATCACTTTTTTAATGTTTCACTATTTTTATTTGTATGAAATTCACTGAGGAGGATGGTCCACCCCTTCCTCCTCCTCTTTGTCTTCCAGTCAGCCTGTGAAAAGAGTCCCAATTCATCATGACAAACCTCACTTACCTGCCCCGGGCTTTTTAGAATGTCACACAAACGTTTCTGATAAACAAACCACTTATCCTGTGCTTGTTTCACCCCTAATATGCAGCCGATTAAAGCTTGTTAATGCAATTTAGCAGACGGGAATGAAGGGGAAATGGTGGTGGCGTCGTGGGGTTACGCTTGTATTCAATTCCCCTGAAACGCAGACAGAGGAATTCATAAACATTCAAACTACACTGAGAGAAACCAGTAGAAATGCCTCTGTCCTTATACGTGACAGTGTTGCATATACAGAGAACACTGTGTAGCGACTTACATTTATTTTGAATGACCAGTAGAATGATACATTTTGGATTAAACACACTCTCGCTTTTCTGATAAAAGTAGTAGAAATAAGTACTTCCGAAGCAATGTAATAGTAGTTTTGGGTTTTATAATGTGTCCACTTAAATAATTGAAAAGGGAAAAAAAATTAAACATGAGTCCTCACCTAAAATATGTTACTGCTGTGGCTGTACTACTCTGTTAAATGAATCATGTGTTTCTGATGTGCCAACCTCTCAAAGCATCTTTCTGATGTTGTTTTTACTCTGATGTAGGTAGCCATGAAATCCAATGAGCAGGCCCTAAGTAACCCGGTCCACTGTACTTACTGTATATGTCAGCCATTGAATAGAGCTCTCTACAAAGATAGTAGCTCTTAGGCCATCAGGGATGTGCTACTGTACACCATCGCCTGGTTGCTAGGATGATGTTAGTCTCATCTCATTTTTCACCATGGCAGACCTCTCTTGAATCCAGTCAAAATTGACAAATGTAGTCAAATGTATTTGGCTGTTACCAGGGAAAGTTTTGCTATTCAGAAATGTTCTCACTCACATTACCTTTGATGTATGCATTTGTCATACTGAACATGATTTAGCATTTTCTGGCACACCAGGTGTTGAGGCTAGGTCCCTGATGACTCGATGTGGCATATGTGATATCAGTGGATCTATTTGGTGTTTTGAACGTCAACCTGCCAATTGACAAAGCAGCGTTGAGAAGCGATTTGAGCCATTCATCATTTCCAAAAGGTTAACCATCCCCAGTCTGGAACCTTCTGTCCTCACTATGGAGATGGAGGTTATTCAATGGCGCTGCTGATAAATCGGATTCATATAGCAGGCAGAACCGTGCTAACACCACCACCTGTGCCCACCACCACCTCCCTGCAGGAAGTAAATCTTTCTCTTCATCCACAGAATATGAAAAGGAGATTTATTGATGCACCAATATACAAACCTTTACAAATCGCTTGCCAGACGCAAGATTTATGGCTGTGTGGGCTGTGGAGTTGCATCATTGTTACCATGGCTTTGGCTGGTGCTCGGTGTGTCTGTCCTGCAAACAGAGGCTTCTCTCCCTCCCTTCCGCCCCACCGCCTTCCTCGTCAATTGCCGCCTCCTCCCACCCAGACAAGGCCTCTGATTTATCACCTCCAGTCTGGCAAATTGCTTTTACAGCCTCCTTGATTATTGTTCAGTGCTAAATGGATAACAGATTATTTCTAAAGATCCTTTAATACACAGGGGGTCTGAAGGGACATTAAGCTGCCGTGGCATCTCGGTTGGGGATGCGCACATCGGCAATTTTCTTGGATTGTAATCATTGCATCAATAGTGACTTTCCTGTGACTTCCGAGATCCTTTATGTGTTGTTTCCCGCAATGTCAATAGTAATCCCTGTGATAAATGCCTGGACCCTAACTGGGCTCTGGAGCTGTGCTCACCTCACTAGCACAGGCAGACATGCAGGACTAAGGAAGATATTAATTTCCCGCTTCATCAATATGATTTGTGGCTCATAAAATCAGAGATGGATCCAACAGCTGTGTAATAGGGATTTTAACCTACGTTTGCTTTGGTTTCAAGCTATTCCACTTTTAATGGCCTCTGTGCAGATCTCTCACATCTGGTTGGCTGTACCTCTGCCCTGTTGGGAAAGTAGAGCTGCTAATGGACATAACTCACTGCTGCTCTCCGCTCAATAAACTGGAATCAATACGTCTTCTTTAGCTATGGAGACCAAGTTTTAATGAATGTTATGTTTATTAATCAGTTCTGGCATCCCTTATTCTAATGAGTTTGCAAAGAAAATTAGTAGAGTGTTAATTTGTAACTTTGTTTGTGATTCTTGATTTTCAGGGCTGTCCCCAGATCCTGCCCATCAGTGACATCCTGGTACCTGCAGGGATCATTCGTCCAATCACGCTGCGAGCCCGGAACCTCCCTCAGCCCCAGTCTGGACAGAAGAACTATGAGTGTGTGTTCAACATCCAGGGCAAGATGCAACGCATCCCAGCTGTACGCTTCAACAGCTCATGTATCCAGTGCCAGAACACTTCAGTGAGTACATGGCCTATTAATATGACTTATCCGCACTGAAAGCCTTATTTCCAGGCCCTCAGAATGTTGTTGTTTATACAGTATTTACTGTAAAAGATAATGTAAATTGTTATTTGATTTGGAATCTTGGTCCAGTGTAAAAACTATTTTTGTACTTTTATACTATTATGCATATCTTACACCGATCTTTTGAAATAGTTTCCCACAGGTCCCTTACCAATACTTGTATAGAGAAAGAGTATGCCTCCCCCTCTGCCTCTCTTCCTCTCTCTCACATGGAAATAATAGGCAGAAAAATCAAGGTGACTTTCCATTGAGTCACTGATCACAAAAAAACGTTATCCGCAAAATCAGCAAAGACATCAATTCAGAGCATTAAAGTTGTTTTCTCAATCCCAGTGAAAGATGTGGCATGTCAAAGAGCTGACATTGAGTCTCCTCTCTACCCCTCTTTCTCTCTCTCGCTCCGTAACACCCTCTCTCTCTCTCTCTCTCTCTCCCTTTCTCTCCTACTCCCTCTGTCTCATAGTAATGTTACAGACGGCTGCCTTCTGTGACCCATCTGGTTGTCACAGTAACCCCAGGGAATCTTGTAAAATAATTAGCCAGTCACAGGATGTGGGTCTTAATTTGGTTGGACAATGTGACCTAGGAAAAGGGAATGTGGTGTGGGTGGAGGGGCCGCAGCGTTCCCTCTGCCACGGAGTGTCTCCCCTCTAACCCCCTTAACCCCTGGAGGTCAAAGGTCAGGCTGTGGGCCACTGTCCTTCGACACAGGACAATTGATATCCCGTGGCAATTTAATAATGAGGATCACGTATCCAGCACACACGGCCTTCCCCAGCGGGTCGGGTTAGGATTGATTGTTGTCCTTTCCCTGGCTGACACATACTGCCTGGCGCACTACATTGTGAAGGCCTTCGGAAGGACCCTGCCGCGAAGAGCAACTGTTGTCCTTCCATCTGCTTTCACTCATTTCCTCCCTCTCATCATTATTTATTTCTCTGACCCCCACCCGCACGCTACAGCTATGCATTTAAAATGAAATTGAAAGTAGTTTTGTGGTAGACCATTATTAAGTGAGTGCACAAAGGTTAGAGCATTGGGCATTGGGGTTTGGATTGTTCAAAGCATAACTCTGCAGATGCTGTGTGAACAATGAAACAGCTCTATGAATATAGTGAGGCAATCAGCATAAATAGATGGACTCTAGTGTGTTAATCACTTCAGCTAGAGGTAAACATTTGAGGCTGTTTACCACACACACGGACAGGCTGAGTATACAACATTAAACTGTAAATGTTAGGCCTCCCTCACACTCCCCTGCTTCATCTCAATCTGACAGAAAGAGAAACCACGCCCTGAGATTGATATTCAGGCACTGACATTTTTTTTTACTACTCCCCTCCCCCATCGACTCCCCTCCCCCATTCTGACTGGTAGCTACTACCCTCACCCTCTGTCTCTCTCTTTCTTTCTCCCAGCCCCCTCTCCCCCTCTCTCTGTTTGGAAGGGATCTTTAGATTAATTGATAGTCTGATTACCTGTGACACAGCGGGCTAGGGCCACATCATCCTTCCTTCTCTGTCTCTCCCCCTATCTGATGGATCTCTCCTGAATAGTAATCTAGCCATAGTAAAGACATGCCGCAGATTACATTCAGTCCCTGGGGTGTGTGCTGTCCGCCCTCCCCTCACACTCAACTCAGCGGCAACGACTATCAATCAGTATGGCCGTCAAGACGAGTGGCTGTCAAGACTGCTGCAGCCAGGTGACTTTGAGGCCATGGGGTCCATGCTAATGCAATTGTGAGTGTCCTCAGATGGGCAATGCTGAATCAATCAATATCAACTGCTGTTTAGTCTCCCCCTCACTGAGAACTTTCAGGTATCAGTCAGCACTTTTGCCCTAATGGGAGGCCCCTGTTCTGAGGTGGGGGTTAGTTAGGTTAAACATGCTGTTGGACATGTTCACCAGCTGTGCCAATATGTTTTACCAGACAGGGCAACTTCAACTTTAGTCTAGTAGCATGTTGCAGTTTAATGTGATTTCACTGTCAGGTTTAGCTTTAAAGCTGTTATTGTAGGTACAGTAATGCAGAGATTGAGTGATAGTTATGTGACTCAGCTGTAGCCTTGGCCCTAGCCTGGGTACCAGTCTGTTTAGCTAACATTTCACTCCTTCTACTCCGTGTCATTGTTTGGCATGACAATTCCATAAGGAGTTGACAGAAGAGCAGAAACAGACAGGCGCCCAGGCTACTTTGGCCCTGCTTGATGATGTAAATGTTCTCAGGGTGGAACTAACAGAGATATTACTCAGATTTGATTTGATTTGATTCATCTAATGGGAACTAAACACACAGCCGGACCACTCATATTACCCCATCACTGCCTCATAACTGTCCTCTTATCAGCTCTCTTATCCCTGTGACGATCTTCTCTTCTAATCAGGGCCCCTTCCTGGCCCTCCCTGGGAGAGAGGGGGTGTTCTAGTGGACCAACAAGCCTCCCTCCCATCTCCCACTTCTCTGCTGTTTCCCGCCGCCTGGCCTTTCTCACTCTCACAATGCTCTCTCTGTATGTGTACCCTTATCTACATTTATAGGCAACTGGTTTGTCCTGGTAAATACATTTTTAAAGTCCACTATACAGTACATAGAACTGTCATTCACCAGAGAAACTAGCCCTAGGCTTGTATGTCCATGTTGGTGTGTGTGTGTTTCCAGGATTGTTGTATGTGAAGTTGACCCGTGATGTGCAGTTCAGCATGTGAACGATGTCTATGCGCCACAGATCTAGAGTAGCCCTGTGTCAGTGATGCAGACAGATAACAGCAGTTTGCCCTCAGACAGACAGACCAGTAAACAGACCAGAACAACACATATGTCTGACAGCACATCCTGCATAAATACAACACAAGGTTGTACCCTTGCCTCTGCCCGCAATCCTCTTTCCATGCTCCAACTCTTCCCTGTCTCTCTGCCTCTACTTTGGCATTTCCATTCATTCATTTTGTCCAGCTAAATAGAACAGATACTGTTAAGCTATTATACTGGCTTCCTGCTGGTGTGGTTGGATACATGTAATTTAAATTATACTGCAGCAGGTGCATCCTGCATGACCCACATCCCACCTGCATCCAAAGAGAAATACAGTACCTTTTTGTAAGGTACATATGCATAAAGATTAGACAACTCTGTATGATAATTCATTCTGATCCACATCAATCCATAAATCACATTCCCCAACTGTACGATATCCTTCAGAAATGTGATTTGGTATCATGTCAAAACGCATAGATGTACTGTAATTCAGCTCAAACGCATGCATGCTTGTTTCTTTCCTTTATCTGTCTTCCCGCTTGATTTGTACTGCAGACATCAGCAATGTGCTGCCATAGCCGGAATAAATCAGTATGATACACCCCCCACACATATGCACACTGCCTTTGAAATAAATGATAAGTAGGGTCTTTGCCGTTAAAACTCAATAAGCATTTGCTTTGATAATGTAAAGGTTTTTTGTGCATTTTTGTTTGACAGCATGCTTTACGTTGCAGATTACACATGGCACACGTATAACCTTTGATAGGCTGAATCGGCATACATGGGACTTTTCATCTTTTGTATCAAGATGAGAGGAAATCCAAATGAATCCATGGACGTAAGTGTTGCTAAGCGCTGCTGACCCCTTAGCGACAGGCATTGGCGGTGTTACCCAGGAAACGTACAGTAAAGCCTTTTGCACAATGACCAAGTTCTGAACTACCCATTTGATGGAAAGTGCTCTCACAAAGAACACCATTATTCCCGGACGATGGTAGCAAAGCTTTTTGAATAAAAACACTTACATGTTCTTTTTTCAGGCTTTCTGAACCAGCATGCCCTCATTATTCTATTATTCTCATCAAGTGCCCAATCAGACTATGAATGTCTTTGGTGCTTCTAAGTGGAACATACAGTTGGGAAGGGAAATGACCTGCCCTGCTCTTGACACCAAAGGCCCCACTAATGGAAGAAATGTAGCATGAAACAATCTACATGTTAGTGATACTGTGGGGAATGTCACCTCATGGTCAGTGTAAACATGCTTCCATGCACACTAAGTAGTAGGATATGATATATTGTGCACTGCATACATATATTTTTAGGTAGGTTTATCTTACACCTGCTCTTTGTATTAACCATAGAAAATGGCATTCTAATGCTATGGTATTTATCCTTTCTCTTGTGATTGTTGCATATTGCATCCCTGTCGGTCTCTGAGGTTAGATATACTGGATTGTGCATGTGAGGCTCTGTAGCAGGTGGGGTCTGGTGGAATAAATTGTCCACTAAATGAGGTGATCAATCAATAGCATGAATTATGAGCCTGTTTCATCCTGTTTGTTTTGCTTTAAGCACTAGCAATGGAAGGGGAGAGAGCCTCAGCTGTATTCCCCTAACTGAGAAATCAGCGCGTTAGTTACCCCTGCTCTGAACACTTTTTTTAGATTCCCAAAGTCATCTACAAAGAATGCTTTGGTGTCATCATGTGAAAAGTATGCTTTGGTTTTCTTGGGTTAATGCACTTACCTCAAATATGATGACACAAGTTCAACCATGGCAATAAAACCATTCCAGATTACCCTATCTGTTTCTTTAACCAAGCTAGTGTGACCTTAAATCTGTCACCATGACGAAGTACACATTTTTTCCTAGTGCAGTAATCAGAATGATGAAAGTGTGGTTTGCAGAAAATATCATTTATGTTCACTAATATGGACTCCCTATTAATTACTGTGTATGTTTAAGAAGGAAAAATACCCTTTTTCAAAGGTAATTTTGCTGAAGTCGGTCAAATTTCGAAATGTAATTAAATGAAACAGGAAAGCCTCCATCATTAAGGTAAATAGATTTTCACTCTGTCACTACAAGGAGCCAGCATCGATGGCACAGTTGCAGCCAATTCTACTGCTCACAGTCTACATCTTAAGTACAGTATTTGTCCTCTTCATTTAGACTGATGGTTAAGCCGCTGCAGATAAATACAGTCGATCCCTGTCAGTGTTCAATGGCCTAATTGAAATCTTAATTACTTTATTCGGAATAAACACAAATTATAAATGTGTATTTTTTCTCTGAATGTATCGTCTTTGATATATAGTTTTAAAAAATGTTGTCACATACAGCAGAGATATGTGTTGTTTTACAGGGTCAGCCATAGTAGTACGGCACCCCTGGAGCAAATTAGGGTTAAGTGCCTTGCTCAAGGGCACATCAACATATTTTCACCTTGTCAGCCCAGGTATTTGAACAAGAGACCTTTCGGTTACTGGCCCAACGCACTAACCACTAGGTTACCTGCCACCCAATTCCTACGGTAAAATGAACTTGCTTACAATGTGTATCTCTCACATTAGTCCCTTCAATAGACCCAATTTTCATTGATCAAAAGGAATATCAAAAGGAATATCTTCCATTGTTGTTGTTTGCAACCCATTAAAACCGAATGATAAGTAGACAACGAATCATAAAAATAGTGTCCTTGTCTCAAAGGGTAGCGCAAGTTTGAAATGTTTTTTCTATATCTGTATCCAGTGATGGATTTGTTTTTTTAAAGGTAAGATTACCTCAATGACTCGCCTCGCCAGAGAGCTGTCTGACAGAACCAGGCCAATTTGTCTCCACTCGCTAGTCTCAGATCCAGTGGAACCAAGGCCGGAGGAAAATCAATTCACGACTGGCAGAGATAAGCTGCATTGTATGACCCAACACAAAAGCTTCCCCCCGTTTACACATAACCGTTAATCTCCTCAAAGCTGCCTGCCTTTCTCTTGAAAAAGAGGGAGAAGGCTAAGAAATACATATTATATTAATTCCAGAAACACATTGTATGGCTCTCCTGTGGCTTTCATTATCAGGGCCTTGGGAAGAGTACATGACAACAACCTAGATTTTTACAAATTAATATCTGTTTCTGAACCTGCCAAGGCTTTGAACGCTGCCATCAACTCACCAACCTGATTTAGTTTACCTATTGAACAAATGTAACGCCTCATTGGACTGTGAAGAATATCGTTGGCCTTATCAACCATTTCACTAAATGCTGTTGTTGAATGAGGCATTTCCGATAGACTTTCAATTTTTGGGCTGAAAAACAGACACCACAAAGGTTAGCTGTAGTTTATATGTCTGTTTGATGGATAGGAGTGAGGATGGTCTCAAGTTGAGTTGAGTTTTTGTTGTGTGACACTGTGAAGTGATATGATTGGGGGAAGTTAATTCAGTGACCCCACCCAGGGAGCTGCTGATCCATAAATTACCTCAATTATGGACTGGTGCCCGCAGAACCAACTGGACCCTATAGAGATGTAAGAACATTTGGAGCCACGTGTCGACAGGTTCAGTGGGCTTTAGTTCAGCCTTTCAGCATCCACACTGCTACATTCCCTGCTGGACTTGCTTCCAGATATTTCACAGAACAGCTGCACAAAGATTCAAACCTTCACACACATGCACATGCGTGCACACACACACACAGGCATGTGAGCGTACGCACACACACACACACACACATGTTATGTTCTTCTATCCTCGTGGGGACCTAACATTAATTTCCATTCAAAATCCTATTTTCCCTAACCCTTAACCCTAAACATAACCCTAACCCTTACCATAACCCTAAGCCAAACCCTAAACCTAACTCCTAACCCTAAACCTAAGCACTAACCCCTTACCCTAACCATAATTCTAACCCTAACCCTAAACCTAACCCCTAAGCTTAAAATAGCCTTTGTCCTCATGGGGACGTGGGAAATGTCCCCTCGAGGGAGAATTCTCCTTGTTTTACTATCGTTGTGGGGACTTTGGGGGATTTTAGGTCCCCACAAGGATAGAAGAACCAACACACACACACACACACACACACACACACATACACACACACAAATAGTCACACACATTCAAACACAGTCAAACATACCACAGCTGATCTTCCAGTTAACATGCCCCTGGACTGATGAGGAATTCAGAGAGGCTGGTTGTTTCCTCAGCTCTGATTTATGTAGGTTAGGTATGGATGGATAAAGGTGAGGTATGGATGGATAAATGTGTCACATCTGATACTTCCATCAAGACTTAACGGTTCAACAGGAACCTACAGGAACCTCCATCTTGGTTGTCCATACAGTAGCTGACCTATCAAACTGGAGCTGCTCTCTCTCTCTTTGAATCTGCTGAGAGTCAACTTAAGGTGGTTTGCAATAAGTTCCCTTTTTAATGCTGAATTCAGGGCCCTCCCTTGCTTTTAGTCTGCCCTCATTCCTCCATCGCCTCCTTATGAACACCCATAAGTGTTCTGGCCGTGGATCAATGTGGCTGATCAGCGATATTCTCTCAGGGTTGCTGCTGGCTTAGTGTTCTGAGTGTTGCTGCTAATTAAAACACAGGCAGGAAAACCACCACCCCCTCCTTCACCTGACAGACACAGGGCAGCAACACTCTCTCTCTCTCTCTCTCTCTCTCTCTCTGTCTCTCTCTGTCTCTCTCTGTCTCTGTCTCTGTCTCTCTCTCTCTCTCCTCTCTCTCCTCTCTCTCTCTCTCTCTCTCTCTCTCTCTCTCTCTCTCTCTCTCTCTCTCTCTCTCTCTCTCTCTCTCTCTCTCTACAAAAAGCCAGATTAACTCAAAGCCTAGTCTGTCAAAAAAGCCACTATGTCTCCCTGTCTCCCTCACAGCTATGCAATGTAGTGGCTAGGCTAGTGGCTAATGGCTAATGGGTTGTTACACAGAGCAGATTAAGTGTTTTTCGTTGTACAGTATAGTGTATAGTATAGCATTATGATTTCCACTGCACTGTGCCAGCCAGCCATGCCAGCCATGGAACTCAGTTTATACTGATGAGCCAAGTCATAAACCACAGTAAGTGGAATGAGTGCCACTGTCTTTATTAATAGGGCCCTATGAAGGCTTGTCATGCTCTGAATGATATTGGGCTTTATGCACCGTCAGTACAGTATGATGATTGACTCATGGTTTTTATGTGTGTTTCCTCCTGCAGTACTGGTATGATGGGGACGAGACGGGAGACCTGCCTGTTGACTTCTCTATCGTCTGGGATGGAGACTTCTTCATCGACAAGCCTCCCACCATGAAAGGTATGTTGTTTTATAATTTCTAGAATCATACATTCTTCATAATAGTGTTGCAGCTAAATAGTGTAAATGACAAATCGAAGACATAACTGGCACACAACAGCGAAACAACAGACACACTGGTCAAATATGTGGTCATCCCTTGCTGAGCCCTCTAGTGGCACTTGAGTGATGAATTCACTCTATGTACAGTGCTGGGGGCTATGGCTACCACAATAAATCATATTCAGTGGGATAATTCAATCGCAAATGTGGATTAAGCCTGTGCAGTTATTTTCTTATTGTCTTCAAAACTGTTAAATTGACAAACATTTTTGTAGGTGAGTAAGAGATAAGAGACAGAACTAAATGTGCAGTCCCATGTTTTGTATGAACACACCTTGTATAACTGCAAGTCGGGGACAAATAGTGGTTGTCAATACTTCCCTCAAAGGAGCTTTATCTCACTGGTTTCATCAGGCCACTCTGAAAGAGACCTGTAGCTCTCCACAATCAGTCTGCAGATAGCATCTCTCCACTGGGCTATTGGCCCTGCGCAAAGATGAGCTGAGAGGAGAGAGCTAGTCATGTAGCTAGCTGCACAGTATTTGATTATGTTCTCCTCCTGAACTGGTCAATAACTCTGTGTACCATCTTCACCTTTAAACCTGTGTTATCGAGGCGGCTGCATAGGAGTGAGGACGAGGCTGAGCAGGGGATAAAGGGAGATTAGCAGCTCAGGACCTGTGCTGTGCAGCGCGCCTCACCCACTCACCTTTCTGTCTCAGACTCCATCTTAGACGAGTGTTAACCCTCCCTGTTTGTCTGTCTGTCTGTCTCTGTATCTGTCTGTCTGTCTGTCTATCTGTGCTCAGCCCTGCTGTATAAGTGTGAGGCCCAGAGGGACAGCTGTGGCTTGTGTCTGAAGGCCAGCACAGCGTTTGAGTGTGGCTGGTGCCTGGACAACAAAAAGTGTCTCCTGAGGCAGCACTGCCAGACCCCGGAGCAGAACTGGATGCATCACGGCAGACACAACGTCCGCTGCAGCCACCCCCGTATCAGCAAGGTAAGACTGGAGCACAGAGATATACTGTGTATAATACTGTATGTTTGTGTTTAATTCTGTGGGCTAGAGCATCTGAACCCAGGCCTTCTGCTGTGTGTGAGCATGCTGACAGGGATATTGCTTCTCCGTGACCTTGACCCTGTTTCCATGGACAGATCCACCCGTTGACAGGGCCCAAAGAGGGGGGCACGCGAGTGATGATCGAAGGGGGAGAACCTCGGGCTGCAGGTGCGGGAGATCGCCCATGTCCAGGTGGCTGGGGTTCGCTGTAACCCTGTGCCCTCCGAGTACATCAGCGCTGAGAGGTGAGTGTGGTGACTTTGTCAATAGGGTTTCACTTGAATGGTATGCAAGTAAATGAGTGATACTTGGTCATATGTCTGCTAACTCTATTTCGTTTTAACATTAGGCAACATAAGCAGTGGGCCTTTGACTGACAGCTGAGTGTGTGTGTTCTGTCCCTCAGGATCGTGTGTGACATGTCCGAGGCGCTGTTGCCCCACTCTCCAGGCGGCCCAGTGGAGCTGTGTATTGGGGTGTGCAGTGCAGAGTACCGCACTCAATCGTCCCAGACCTACTCCTTTGTGGTGCGTTTGACCCCACATGACCCCATCTCTTTCCAGAACGATGACTGTGCAGAAAGTGTCTGGCCGTTTCCGGAGGCAGAGGAAGGATACCAACCAATTGCAGTGGTTCTGCCCCGGGAACTAACTAGTCTTATGCTGCAATACAGAGATGGTGAACATGTTGTGAAAGAAAGTGTGGCCGATGTGACATACAGTAATTACCCAGCTATCCCAATGGAGCATTAAGCAGCGGTGAAACAGGAATGTGACGTTAGTTTATAATCTCCTCAGCCTGCGAGCCGAGCAGCTGACTGAAATGAATGGGCTTCACTGCTGCCCTTAAACGAGCAATCAATAGCAGTCCTGCAGTTCTATTCCAGCAGAACCCAAACGCAGCTCCCAGCCAAATGAATACATGTGCATGGAGCAATTACGTATGTAACTAATTACAGAAGAAAATAACTTTCTCACTCATGTCACTGTCACTGTGCTACTGAAAATACTTAAACTGCAGTGCAGTGTGTTGCAGCAATTACCAGAAATATAATGGGAATCGGTTTGTTGCACTGTAGCTTTTCACAAAAACTGCATAATTGTTTTGTGTGCTGCTGGTGCTGGGTGTTAACAGTGAGTTTCCTTCCTCTCTCAGACCCCCAGCTTCAACCGTGTGCGCCCGGAGAAGGGCCCCGTGTCCGGGGGGACCCGTCTGACAATATCAGGCCATCATCTGGACACTGGGAGCACCGTCACTGTGTTCATCGCCCAGGAGGAGTGTCTGTTTGTTAAGTGAGTAGTCAGCTTGACCCCACCTCAGGGGAATGGACTGTGGTAGTATAGTAGTGCAGTGTTGTCTGTGCAGTACACTCAGAACTGAACATACTGTACACACTCTGTCTGTGACAGTGAGAGTGTGACAGCATGACATTGTCTTGAGTGTCATTTCAGACAGTGAATTCATTCTATGAGATACTACTATATGACATTCTCTGCCTAAACCACACAGGAGGACAAACAGGGACATTGTGTGTGTGACACCGTCGTCACTGTCTGGCTCGGGGCCCGCGTCAATCAAGCTGTTAATTGACAAAGCCGAAGTCACCAGCAGTGACACACGATACATCTACACTGAGGACCCCACCATCTCCAGCATCGAGCCCAACTGGAGTATAGTGAAGTGAGTAGTGGTGATCCCAGCCCCAGCACCGCTCCTCTCCTCCTCTCCTCTCCTCCTCTCCTCTCTCCTCCTCTCCTCTCTTCTCCTCTACTCTCCTTTCCTCTCCTCTCCCAGCCAACGGGCTGGAGCCTCTCAGAGCATGACCAGGGTCCTGGGAGAGTCCTGAAGAGAAACTCAGCCCAACCATCTATTACTGCCAGTAATGAACCAGGAACACACAGAGATTACAACATGATCCCCAAAGCCACACACAGACGCCCACACAGTCCCATTGTAGCCATTTCACCATGACACTTAAAGCACAATAGACAGTATGGGGGATGATGTATCTAATGTATATAAAATCCTAATTCATGGGACCCTTGAGGGGACTGTAGAGCTTCCTCTGAATCCCAACAGTACTGTAAGATAAATCATACAAACAACATGCTGTAGCAAAATAGCACCTCTGCTACACGGAAGTTCTTATTTCATTCCTTGTTCTCTCTCTGCCCATATCACCAGTGTGCAATAGCTAGCTGACATGATACCAGGTCTTTAGCATAGCTTGATAGCTCTTAACCACCATGCTTCTGTTTGTGTTTCAGTGGTAGCACCTTGATCACCGTCACAGGTACCAACCTGCTCACCATCCAGGAACCCAAAGTCCGTGCCAAGTATGGAGGAATAGAGACTACTAATGTAAGTGTTCCAAATATAATACATTCCATCAGAAAGAATGGAGGACCAAGGCACTCTTCATATAATTAATTAAAATGCCTTTATTTGGATGGCATGTTCAATAGAAACAAGGTTTTTTTTAAATATGAGGCATTTCGGCTGCATGGCCTTCGTCAGGGAGTACATTTCATGTTTGCACAGCACCGCTCTGATTATTACAAATGGTTAACCTGTAGAATAGCTACAGATGTGGTCAAATATATTGGCACCCTTGCATGATTCACTATTTATTCTCAAATAAGTTGAAATTGAAAAAACGTTAGGTGTTTACACGTGTATTTGTTTGATTTACAACTGCACAGGACCAAGAAGAAACACTTTAAAGTAGAAAAATGGCCTGGACTAAATTATTGAAGATTTAAATGAATTTGGTTGGAGACAATTATTCTTGTTTACTGTGTAATTTATCTCAACTGTGGTAAGTTGCAGGTGCCTACAGAGTAAAAATAGCTATACAACCAGTTTTGAAAAGAAAAACTAAACATTCTGCTCCATTGCACTCCATTGTAAAGTGCAAGGGTGCCAATATATTTGACCGGATCTGTAGCAGCAAGGACTTACGCAATAAGCTTTTGCTACTGGCATTCTAGTGAAACATCAGTGTTGTGGTTTTACACAGTAGTCTATGGGCTCTATTTTCGTCTGGCGCTAAGGCTTCACAAATGTCAACGCACTTTAGTTGGCAATTTCAGCATGTAAAAAGTGGCGCTCTGGCATTTTCCACCCCTTGTGCCAGGTTCTACAATTTACCTGTCTAACATCAGCTTGCTTGCGCTGAGGTGGGAGGATGGCAATATTTGAGGTGTGTCCTTAAAAACGAGGGTAAAAATTACAATTTCATTCAGTGCAAATAGGGAGATTTAAAGGCCCAATGCAGCCATTTTTATCTCAATCATTTCTGGGTTGCAATTAAGTACCTTACTGTGATTGTTTTAAATTAAAATGGTCAAAAATAACTTCTTAGCGAGAGCAATTTCTCAAACAAGAATTTTGCTAGGACTGTCTGGGAGTGGTCTGAGTGGGGAGGGGAAAACTGAAAACTAGCTGTTATGGGCAGAGAGGTTTGGAACTCTCTTTCTTATTGGTCTATTAACAAATGTACCACCTGGTGATGTCACCAGGCAGGCCAAAACTCCATCCCACCAAAACAGGCTGAAATTTCAGGCGGTCTTTTCAAACAGCTCTTTTTTTATTTTCTTCTTTAGGGGGTAGATCAGCTTTAATATTGCAGATAGACTGTATCTTCCATCAATGTAATTGTTTGCATCACTTCCAATCCCCCATATGTTTTTTTCTCTCGCAAATATATACAGTGGAGAGAACAAGTATTTGATACACTGCCGATTTTGCAGGTTTTCCTACTTACAAAGCATGTAGAGGTCTGTAATTTTTATCATAGGTACACTTCAACTGTGAGAGGCGGAATCTAAAACAGCAATTTCCAGAAAATAACATTGTATGATTTTTAAGTAATTAATTTGCATTTTATTGCATGACATAAGTATTTGATACATCAGAAAAAGCAGAACTTAATATTTGGTACAGAAACCTTTGTTTGCAATTACAGAGATCATACATTTCCTGTAGGTCTTGACCAGGTTTGCACACACTGCAGCAGGGATTTTGGCCCGCTCCTCCATACAGACCTTCTCCAGATCCTTCAGGTTTCAGGGCTGTCGCTGGGCAATACGGACTTTCAGCTCCCTCCAAAGATTTTCTATTGGGTTCAGGTCTGGAGACTGGCTAGGCCACTCCAGGACCTTGAGATGCTTCTTACGGAGCCACTCCTTAGTTGCCCTGGCTGTGTGTTTCGGGTCGTTGTCATGCTGGAAGACCCAGCCACGACCCATCTTCAATGCTCTTACTGAGGGAAGGAGGTTGTTGGCCAAGATCTCGCGATACATGGCCCCATCCATCCTCCCCTCAATACGGTGCAGTCGTCCTGTCCCCTTTGCAGAAAAGCATCCCCAAATAATGATGTTTCCACCTCCATGCTTCACGGTTGGGATGGTGTTCTTGGGGTTGTACTCATCCTTCTTCTTCCTCCAAACACGGCGAGTGGAGTTTAGACCAAAAAACTCTATTTTTGTCTCATCAGACCACATGACCTTCTCCCATTCCTCCTCTGGATCATCCAGATGGTCATTGGCAAACTTCAGACGGGCCTGGACATGCGCTGGCTTGAGCAGGGGGACCTTGCGTGCGCTGCAGGATTTTAATCCATGACGGCCTAGTGTGTTACTAATGGTTTTCTTTGAGACTGTGGTCCCAGCTCTCTTCAGGTCATTGACCAGGTCCTGCCGTGTAGTTCTGGGCTGATCCCTCACCTTCCTCATGATAATTGATGCCCCACGAGGTGAGATCTTGCATGGAGCCCCAGATCGAGGGTGATTGACCTTCATCTTGAACTTCTTCCATTTTCTAATAATTGCGCCAACAGTTGTTGCCTTCTCACCAAGCTGCTTTCCTATTGCCCTGTAGCCCATCCCAGCCTTGTGCAGGTCTACAATTTTATCCCTGATGTCCTTACACAGCTCTCTGGTCTTGGCCATTGTGGAGAGGTTGGCGTCTGTTTGATTGAGTGTGTGGACAGGTGTCTTTTATACAGGTAACAGGTTCAAACAGGTGCAGTTAATACAGGTAATGAGTGGAGAACAGAAGGGCTTCTTAAAGAAAAACGAACAGGTCTGTGAGAGCCGGAATTCTTACTGGTTGGTAGGTGATCAAATACTTATGTCATGCAATAAAATGCAAATTAATTACTTAAAAATCATACAATGTGATTTTCTGGATTTTTGTTTTAGATTCCGTCTCTCACAGTCTCATGATAAAAATTACAGACCTCTACATGCTTTGTAAGTAGGAAAACCTGCAAAATCGGCAGTGTATCAAATACTTGTTCTCCCCACTGTATATACAGTGAGGGAAAAAAGTATTTGATCCCCTGCTGATTTTGTACGTTTGCCCACTGACAAAGAAATGATCAGTCTATAATGTTAATGGTAGGTTTATTTGAACAGTGAGACACAGAATCCTGTCTCCTGAGTGGCGCAGTGGTCTAAGGCACCGCATCGCAGTGCTAACTGTGCCACTAGAGATCCTGGTTCGAATCCAGGCTCTGTCGCAGCCGGCCGCGACCGGGAGACTCATGGGTGGTGCACAATTTGTCCAGGGTAGGGGAGGGAATGGCCGGCAGGGATGTAGCTCAGTTGATAGAGCATGGCGTTTGCAACGCCAGGGTTGTGGGTTCGATTCCCACGGGGGGCCAGTATTAAAATATATATATATATAGGTATTCACTAACTGAAAGTCGCTCTGGATAAGAGCATCTGGTCAATGTAAATGTAGAATAACAACAGTAAAAAAATCCAGAAAAACACATGTCAAAAATGCTATAAATTGATTTGCATTTTAATGAGGGAAATAAGTATTTGACCCCCTCTCAATCAGAAAGATGTCTGGCTCCCAGGTGTCTTTTATACAGGTAACGACCTGAGATTAGGAGCACACTCTTAAAGAGTATACCTGTATAAAAGACACCTGTCCACCGAGGCAATCAATCAATCAAATTCCAAACTCTCCACCATGGCCAAGACCAAAGAGCTCTCCAAGGATGTCAGGGACAAGATTGTAGACCCACACAAGGCTGGAATGGGCTACAAGACCATTGCCAAGCAGCTTGGTGAGAAGGTAACAACAGTTGGTGCGATTATTCGCAAATGGAAGAAACACAAAAGACTGTCAATCTTCCTCGACCTAGGGCTCCATGGAATATCTCACCTCGTGGAGTTGCAATGATCATGAGAACGGTGAGGAATCAGCCCAGAACAACATGGGAGGATCTTGTCAATGATCTCAAGGCAGCTGGGACCATAGTCACCAAGAAAACAATTGGTAACACACTACGCCGTGAAGGACTGAAATCCTGCAGCGCCCGCAAGGTCCCCCTGCTCAAGAAAGCACATATACAGGCCCGTCTGAAGTTTGCCAATTAACATCTGAATGATTCAGAGGAGAACTGGGTGAAAGTGTTGTGGTCAGATGAGACCAAAATCGAGCTCTTTGGCATCAACTCAACTCGCCGTGTTTGGAGGAGGAGGAATGCTGCCTATGACCCCAAGAACACCATCCCCACCGTCAAACATGGAGGTGGAAACATTATACTTTGGGGGTGTTTTTCTGCTAAGGGGACAGGACAACTTCACCGCATCAAAGGGACGATGGACGGGCCATGTACCATCAAATCTTGGGTGAGAACCTCCTTCCCTCAGCCAGGGCATTGAAAATGGGTCGTGGATGGGTATTCCAGCATGACAATGAACCAAAACACATGGCCAAGGCAACAAAGGAGTGGCTCAAGAAGAAGCACATTAAGGTCCTGGAGTGGCCTAGCCAGTCTCCATACCTTAATCCCATAGAAAATCTGTGAAGGGAGCTCAAGGTTCGAGTTGCCAAACGTCAGCCTCGAAACCTTAATGACTTGGAGAAGATCTGCAAAGAGGAGTGGGACAAAATCCCTCCTGACATGTGTGCAAACCTGGTGGCCAAGTACAAGAAACTTCTGACGTCTGTGATTGCCAACAAGGGTTTTGCCACCAAGTACTAAGTCAAGTTTTGCAGAGGGGTCAAATACTTATTTCCCTCATTAAAATGCAAATCAATTTCAAAAATTTTTGTCATGTGTTTTTCTGGAATTTTTTGTTGTTATTCTGTCTCTCACTGTTCAAATAAACCTACCATTAAAATTATAGACTGATCACGTACAAAATCAGCAGGGGATCAAATACTTTTTTCCCTCACTGTATACATACATATATATATATATATATATATATATATATATATATATATATATATATATATATATATATATATACACTGCTCAAAAAAATTATCGCAGTGCTAACTGTGCCACTAGAGATCCTGGTTCGAATCCAGGCTCTGTCGCAGCCGGCCGCGACCGGGAGACTCATGGGCGGTGCACAATTTGTCCAGGGTAGGGGAGGGAATGGCCGGCAGGGATGTAGCTCAGTTGATAGAGCATGGCGTTTGCAACGCCAGGGTTGTGGGTTCGATTCCCACGGGGGGCCAGTATAAAAATAAATATATATATATATATATATATATAGGTATTCACTAACTGAAAGTCGCTCTGGATAAGAGCATCTGGTCAATGTAAATGTAGAATAACAACAGCAAAAAAATCCAGAAAAACACATGTCAAAAATGCTATAAATTGATTTGCATTTTAATGAGGGAAATAAGTATTTGACCCCCTCTCAATCAGAAAGATGTCTGGCTCCCAGGTGTCTTTTATACAGGTAACGACCTGAGATTAGGAGCACACTCTTAAAGAGTATACCTGTATAAAAGACACCTGTCCACCGAGGCAATCAATCAATCAAATTCCAAACTCTCCACCATGGCCAAGACCAAAGAGCTCTCCAAGGATGTCAGGGACAAGATTGTAGACCCACACAAGGCTGGAATGGGCTACAAGACCATTGCCAAGCAGCTTGGTGAGAAGGTAACAACAGTTGGTGCGATTATTCGCAAATGGAAGAAACACAAAAGACTGTCAATCTTCCTCGACCTAGGGCTCCATGGAATATCTCACCTCGTGGAGTTGCAATGATCATGAGAACGGTGAGGAATCAGCCCAGAACAACATGGGAGGATCTTGTCAATGATCTCAAGGCAGCTGGGACCATAGTCACCAAGAAAACAATTGGTAACACACTACGCCGTGAAGGACTGAAATCCTGCAGCGCCCGCAAGGTCCCCCTGCTCAAGAAAGCACATATACAGGCCCGTCTGAAGTTTGCCAATTAACATCTGAATGATTCAGAGGAGAACTGGGTGAAAGTGTTGTGGTCAGATGAGACCAAAATCGAGCTCTTTGGCATCAACTCAACTCGCCGTGTTTGGAGGAGGAGGAATGCTGCCTATGACCCCAAGAACACCATCCCCACCGTCAAACATGGAGGTGGAAACATTATACTTTGGGGGTGTTTTTCTGCTAAGGGGACAGGACAACTTCACCGCATCAAAGGGACGATGGACGGGCCATGTACCATCAAATCTTGGGTGAGAACCTCCTTCCCTCAGCCAGGGCATTGAAAATGGGTCGTGGATGGGTATTCCAGCATGACAATGAACCAAAACACATGGCCAAGGCAACAAAGGAGTGGCTCAAGAAGAAGCACATTAAGGTCCTGGAGTGGCCTAGCCAGTCTCCATACCTTAATCCCATAGAAAATCTGTGAAGGGAGCTCAAGGTTCGAGTTGCCAAACGTCAGCCTCGAAACCTTAATGACTTGGAGAAGATCTGCAAAGAGGAGTGGGACAAAATCCCTCCTGACATGTGTGCAAACCTGGTGGCCAAGTACAAGAAACTTCTGACGTCTGTGATTGCCAACAAGGGTTTTGCCACCAAGTACTAAGTCATGTTTTGCAGAGGGGTCAAATACTTATTTCCCTCATTAAAATGCAAATCAATTTCTAAAAATTTTTGTCATGTGTTTTTCTGGAATTTTTTGTTGTTATTCTGTCTCTCACTGTTCAAATAAACCTACCATTAAAATTATAGACTGATCACGTACAAAATCAGCAGGGGATGAAATACTTTTTTCCCTCACTGTATACATACATATATATATATATATATATATACACTGCTCAAAAAAATTAAGGGAACACTTAAACAACACAATGTAACTCCAAGTCAATCACACTTCTGTGAAATCAAACTGTCCACTTAGGAAGCAACACTGATTGACAATACATTTCACATGCTGTTGTGCAAATGGAATAGACAACAGGTGGAAATTATAGGCAATTAGCAAGACACCCCCAATAAAGGACTGGTTTTGCAGGTGGTTACCACAGACCACTTCTCAGTTCCGATGCTTCCTGGCTGATGTTTTGGTCACTTTTGAATGCTGGCGGTGCTTTCAACGGAGTCTACAACCCACACAAGTGGCTCAGGTAGTGCAGCTCATCCAGGATGGCACATCAATGCGAGCTGTGGCAAGAAGGTTTTCTGTGTCTGTCAGCGTAGTGTCCAGAGCATGGAGGCGCTACCAGGAGACAGGCCAGTACATCAGGAGACGTGGAGGAGGCAGTAGGAGGGCAACAACCCAGCAGCAGGACTGCTACCTCCGCCTTTGTGCAAGGAGGAGCAGGAGGAGCACTGCCAGAGCCCTGCAAAATGACCTCCAGCAGGCCACAAATGTGCATGTGTCTGCTCAAACGGTCAGAAACAGACTCCATGAGGGTGGCATGAGGGCCCGACATCCACAGGTGGGGGTTGTGCTTACAGCCCAACACCGTGCAGGACGTTTGGCATTTGCCAGAGAACACCAAGATTGGCAAATTCGCCACTGGCGCCCTGTGCTCTTCACAGATGAAAGCAGGTTCACACTGAGCACATGTGACAGACGTGACAGAGTCTGGAGACGCCGTGGAAAACGTTCTGCTGCCTGCAACATCCTCCAGCATGACCGGTTTGGCGGTGGGTCAGTCATGGTGTGGGGTGGCATTTCTTTGGGGGGCCGCACAGCCCTCCATGTGCTCGCCAGAGGCCGCACAGCCCTCCTGACTGCCATTAGGTACCGAGATGAGATCCTCAGACCCCTTGTGAGACCATATGCTGGTGCGGTTGGCCCTGGGTTCCTCCTAAAGCAAGACAATGCTAGACCTCATGTGGCTGGAGTGTGTCAGCAGTTCCTGCAAGAGGAAGGCATTGATGCTATGGACTGGCCCGCCCGTTCCCCAGACCTGAATCCAATTGAGCACATCTGGGACATCATGTCTCGCTCCATCCACCAATGCCACGTAGCACCACAGACTGTCCAGGAGTTGGCGGATGCTTTAGTCCAGGTCTGGGAGGAGATCCCTCAGGAGACCATCCGCCACCTCATCAGGAGCATGCCCAGGCGTTGTAGGGAGGTCATACAGGCACGTGGAGGCCACACACACTACTGAGCCTCATTTAGACTTGTTTTAAGGACATTATATCAAAGTTAGATCAGCCTGTAGTGTGGTTTTCCACTTTAATTTTGAGGGTGACTCCAAATCCAGACCTCCATGGGTTGATACATTTGATTTCCATTGATAATATTTGTGTGATTTTGTTGTCAGCACATTCAACTATGTAAAGAAAAAAGTATTTAATAAGATTATTTCATTCATTCAGATCTAGGATGTGTTATTTTAGTGTTCCCTTAATTTTTTTGAGCAGTGTATATATATATATATATATATACACTGCTCAAAAAAATACACATCCTTTAAAAAAATATATTTTCCTTTATTACTTTCCAACCCCACCACCCCTTCCCTAATTGGAGTAAACTAGTGAACAACAATGCTTAGGCCTCTACTTCCAGCTTATACATACTACATACATTTTATGGGTACAGTCAATTTTAAACAGCTCTTACACTAAAAGGGCTTTATCATAATTATCACAATTTGACAGTATTATTCCAATCTCATAGTGTGGAAATATATATAAAACACAGGAAAATCAAATTTTTGACTCCACTGGGTCATTAAGACTCACCAAAAGCAGGTCTTAGCTGTAATGTGGTTGGTTATGGCATGGATTTTGACGCAGCCTATCCAGCCGTGACGCACAGTGCCCATATGCACATGGAACAAGAGAGATGTGCTTTTTGTGCCAGTGAACCTCGTATTTAGAAATGTTTTGTTTAATTTGATTAAAAACCAAGAATAGCCTCCCCTCCCCTAAATGAAGTCTGTTTTTTTTGTCCTGCCCAATGCATTCACCAAGTAGCCAAGACTATCAATTTTTTTAAATATATCTTAATCACCTAAGCTTTATTAAAATATCAAGTTTTGGAGCAGCAAACATCAAGCTGACATCCCCTTTTCATCTATGTATTGTAGGCCTACATTGTTTCAGCCAGCTACTGTTATTATTTTGAATGTGCGTAAAACCCCCTCCATTTAGGCTACATGTCCATGTGTCCATCATGGAACGATAGATGAGATGATGCCGGTGACCCTCGCATTTAGAAACGTTTATGTTATCCCCCCCCCCCCCCCGACTTATAGCGCTACTTCCAGCGCAAAATGTATCATTGCGTTAGTTTTGGTAAAATAGAGCCCTATGTCTCATACATGTTCCTGGTTTGAACCTCCTCCTCCATCTTCCTCTTCCTGTCTAGGTGTGCACTGTGGTAAATGACTCTGTGATGACCTGTCTGGCCCCAGGCATCATTTACACCAAGCACCAGGCCCCAGAGTCAGGCCTGCACCCCGACGAGTACGGCTTCATTCTGGATCACGTGGCCGCGCTGCTCGTCCTCAACGGGACACCTTTCACCTACTACCCCAACCCCACCTTCGAAACACTAGGGAACTCTGGGATACTGGAGGTCAAGCCTGGCTCTCCCATTATCCTCAAAGTAAGTAGATTGTGTTCGTTTGGTTTCATTTTATGTTACTTTTGTCAGTTGAGAGAAATAATAAAACTCTAGAGATTAAATGTCTTGGGTGTTGGTCCAAAGCAAGAGAGGTCCTGTGAGACAGAACCAGTACAAAGACAACTTCCCTACACGTCTACTTACAAATCCCTGAGCTGAGGATGGATTTACAAGTCAGGATTGATAATACTCTGAAGACCCATACAATCACTTGATTGTGTGTGTGCTTTAGTCTGATAAAGGTGATTATTGTCCAAAAAAAAGGTATTTTGAAAACTAACAACATGCTTCTTTTTAAAACAGGGCAAGAATCTGATTCCCCCTGCTCCGGGCAACACCCGCCTGAACTATAGCGTGATGATTGGTGAAACACCCTGTCTGTTAACCGTCTCGGAGTCTCAGCTGCTCTGTGATTCGCCAGACCTGACCGGGGAACAGAGAGTCCTGGTAAGACCAGATGTCCCACCCACCGTTTACTGTAGTTTGAGTATTTTATGTCAACAATAGCTTTTTGTGAGATATCCTTAATTGCCATTGGCAAAACTGCTCTGGCCATAATCCAGTCCTGTTATTTCCCTAAATGTATTTCACATGTAGTTAATGCACTTTTATCTGTGCTATTTGGGAACATGCCTGACTCTGAGGTCTTTGTACATCAATAATCAATTCTATAATTGCTCTGGCTGTCTGGCCATTTTTTTACTTGAATGCTAATCCAACAAATGTAAAGTTCAAATGGGAAAGGGTCATCATGCATTAAGCACTTATGATGATTACGGAGGCCTGCTGATACAAGCAATTTCCCATTTAATCTAACTATCTGTTGACTCCGCAGCTCGGAGCATTATCATCAATGCCAGACATGACTACCTCTCTTTATTACAGGCACGCCTCAGCGCACAATGATTTCAACTGTGGGCTTAAGCAGTAAAGGTGAAAAATAATAATCTTGGATTGATTAAATGCAATTCCTTTTTAAACAGTTTTATGGACAGATTTATTCGGCAGAGGGCAGTCTGGTCAATTTGATAATTGCAAGTGTCTTAAGCAGTTATCCATGTATTCTTATACAGTGCCAGCTGCCAAGACAACCACGGCACAGAATGATTAGAAGTAGGTAGATTTAGTCTGGAGTGTGGCAGCTTGTTTACCTTTTTGTATCAAAGGCATCGTCCTGATCCTATGGTATTGACTTGACACTAACACGCCTGGACGAGGTAACTGGCTGTTGATTCAGTGAAACGCTCAGAATCAATTTAATCAGATCAATAGAGTCAGCTGTGGAGAGAAGGGTACGTTTACAAATCAAAGCTGAGATCAAAGAGAGGGGGAGAGAGCGGTAGCGGTGATGGGTGAGGTGGAGTGATCTCCCTCCCAGGGGGATGGGGGAGGGAGGGAGGGATGACGACACATGGCATAGCGAGAAGGCTGGACCAGCTGTGTTAATGACCTGACACACAGCACAGCAACGGACAGACACACAGACAGCAGAGTGGCATTCTCCCTGTTCCCTTCCATCCACACCACTCAATAATTAAAGCACACAGCAAGAGTGGAATGGGTGGGTAAAGGTGAAACTCGTTAGCCAAACCTGTTGGAGGCCATCAGTAATTGGCCTGAAGTTTAAAAAGGAGATGTTAGAAGAGGCTCCAATGAACCTGGGTCAAATATAAAAACGTTCAACATGTACCTCTGAGTCTGTGCTACTAACTGTAGTTATGAAACCCTTCATATCACAGAGCCACATTTTTTCCATCTCTATGTTTCTCCTCCAGATTGTGGTGGGTGGTCTGGAGTACTTCCCAGGGACCCTGCACATCTACTCTGACAGCACCCTCACCCTGCCGGCCATCATCGGGATCGGGGCGGGAGGAGGGGTGCTCCTCATCGCCATCATCGCCGTGCTCATCGCCTACAAGAGGAAGACCCGGGATGCTGACCGCACCCTGAAACGCCTGCAGCTGCAGATGGACAACCTGGAGTCCAGAGTGGCCCTGGAGTGTAAAGAAGGTACGAGCACTGGTTTTATGACCCTCCTCCTTCTCCTATTTCTCTCCTGTCCTTTTCACCATCACCACAAAAAAACGGGTATACGTTTATGTGTATGCGTTGCACATACATGGCTGTCACTGAAATGACACCATTGCTTTTTCCTCAAGCAAAGAATGCTTCATGAAAGTGAGCTGGAACATTGACTGGCAGGTGATTTTGATATGCTCTTATCAGAGAGCTGTGTGTACTTTTTTAAGAGTAGTGACAAGGGTGCTATCAGAATTTGCCTGCTCTGAATAGTTTATGTTATTGTGATGCTCTTGTTGTAGATATGTGACAATATGATACAGTACAAGTCAATCACTCCACATTCTTTACCATATGTTTTCTCAGACGTTGAATCTGTACGAGGTAAAACAAGTATTACTCATGTCACACAGCTGACTGTGTACAGTATGATGATTATCAAAATATGCTGTCCTAAGCATCCAGACAGTGACTCAGAGGTTTGTCTCCTCTGCTTCTGTCAACATAGCATTCGCTGAGCTGCAGACAGACATCCAGGAGTTGACCAATGACATGGACGGAGTGAAGATTCCATTCCTGGAGTATCGCACCTACACCATGAGAGTCATGTTCCCCGGCATCGAGGAGCACCCCGTCCTCAAGGAGCTGGATGTAAGTGTAAGAGAACTAGAGCAGTAGTTTCTTTCACTTCACCGCCTTGTGCTTCTATCTTCACTTGTCTTGGTAACTTAGAAGAGTATGCTTTCATGAGGTTCACTTTTCTTGTACTGTTACTCACTGGCCAAAAAATAAAGGAATATAGAAAGCGATAGATCCTGTTTAAAAATCCCCTAAGCTCAGTAGCCAGCAGTACGCCGAGCTTCAGAGCAACCTCCTTTCTTTTTAATTCAAACCTGAGGCAGAATCAACCCAGAAGCCCCACCAGGCCTCCGTGGACTACTCGTCTAGAGACTGCCGCAGAAATGTTTGGAAAATAGTCAGCAGGGAGGAAAATTTTAAGTCACTACAGCCAAGTTTTGTAATGTAATACTCATACAACAAAGACAAACCATTTTCTCTCCCCCCTTTTCTCTTGCAATGTCCCCCTCTCTCTCCCTCTCTCTCCCTCTCTCCCTCTCTTCCTCTCTCCCTCTCTCTCCCTCTCTCCCTCTCCCCTCTCCTCCTCTCCCCTCTGAACCCTTTGGACTTCCTTTTGTGTATTCCCACCTCTGTGTACAACCCCCCCCCCCCACCCCCTTTGAAATGTGATTTGTGTACGCCCCCCTCCTGTGTCCTGTCCCTCAGTCCCCGGCCAATGTGGAGAAAGCCCTGCGTCTGTTCAGCCAGCTGCTGCACAATAAGATGTTCCTGCTGACCTTCATCCACACCCTGGAGGCCCAGAGGTCCTTCTCCATGCGGGACCGCGGCAACGTGGCCTCTCTACTCATGGCCGCGCTGCAGGGCCGCATGGAGTATGCCACCATGGTGCTCAAACAGCTGCTGGCAGACCTCATCGAGAAGAACCTTGAGAACCGCAACCATCCCAAACTGCTGCTCCGACGGTGAGGCTACTTACCTGTAGAGAAATGGGCTAGTGTTCTCTTCTCGCTCCCTCACTAACACATCTACTCATGCTGTATGTGTATAGGACACGTGTTGTTGAAACTGACCGGTGTCTCATCTCTCCTGTAGGACAGAGTCTGTGGCAGAGAAGATGCTCACCAACTGGTTTACGTTTCTGCTGCATCGATTCCTCAAGGTAAGGCAGTTGTAATGGTGCTCCGATTTATTTCTAACTGAGGGTTAATGTAGGTTCAGAGAAGAGAGACGTAGGTACATAGCAGACGATTTATGTTTCTGATTTATTCAAAACATATCTGTTTGGCTGAAACACAGGTAGGTCTATAGCAACACTGTGGACTGTACTCTTTCTGTCCCCGTTTTCATTTTTGAACCTGAAATTCTGTGAAATGATCTTTAATTGCTATTATTAGTGTAATGTGTGAGTTGTAATTATAGTTTTGAGGTGGAGTTCTTTGGCTAATCATTTTTTCAATTTTTTTATTTCACCTTTATTTAACCAGGTAAGCCAGTTGAGAACAAGTTCTCATTTACAACTGCGACCTGGACAAGATAAAGCAAAGCAGTGCGATAAAAACAACAACAACACAGAGTTACATATGGAATAAACAAAAACAAAACGTACAGTCAATAACACAATAGAAAATCTATATACAGTGTGTGCAAATGTAGTAAGTTATGGAGGTAAGGCAATAAATAGGCCATAGTGCAAAATAATTACAATTTAGTATTAACACTGGGGTGATATATATGCAGAAGATGATGTGCAAATAGAGATACTGGGGTGCAAATGAGCAAAATAAATAACAATGTAAATAACAATATGGGGATGAGGTAGTTGGGTGGGCTAATTACAGATGGGCTGTGTACAGGTGCAGTGATCGGTAAGCTGCTCTGACAACTGATGCTTAAAGTTAGTGAGGGAGATAAGTGTCTCCATCATGGTACTGGTGCTGTTAATTCTCACTCAGTGTGACCGCAGCACAGTGGGAATCACTCCAGAGGCAGTTGTGGTCATTTTGTCTAACCACATCCACCAACCAAAATGGCCTTTCTGTATTTGTCCTGCCCATATACTGCTCCTGCTTTACTCGTGGATTGGATTGAAATGGCCATTTGCGTTAAGGACAAGAAGCATTCAGGCCTGAAATGCCTCTTGGAATGTAGCTCTGGATGACAGCCAAGTATATTTAAGTTACATCAGTGCAGATGTTAAAGTGTTTTGGCCATCTCCCCAGTCTCCCCAAGTAATTACCCTGAAATGTTTCCACAAGCCTTACTTAAACCTTTATTCGGAATTGACTTTCACATTTTCATATTCAGCTTGCATAGCAATATTCAGCTTTCTTAGCAAGGCTTATCACTGAATTTTTTTATTTTTTTTTACAAAAATATATATCTTAAGGTGATTCAGTACCTTAGGGTAGATGTTATTCGGGAAGGTAAAGGTTCTAGAGTTTCTTAAAATAACAAATGTAATGTCATGTTAAAATTTATGAAGTTCTGAAAACAAACATACTTAGCATGTTCAACATAAACCCCTTTAGCGAAGAACAAATTATCTGAGGATTTAATCTCATCGGACATGGTCTGGAAAAATATAGAAGCTACTTGTTCGTTACTCTCGTTTGACTGGTTTTCAACTGAGAAGAAATTCTAGAGAGTAACTTGAAATCTGCAGATATGCTGTTATTAAGTATGACGTCAACTCAATTTTACAGATTAAGACCACAGAAGAACATGCCCTTGAACACAATACAGTAATACAGAAAATCACTGACACATCCCAGCATGACCAATCCGTTTTACTGAATGCTGCTTATACTCTCATTGCCCTACAAAGTTAGACAATTTGGGGTCGTTTGTGTGTTTGGGGTTTCCTTTGTTTGAGTATGGATTTGAATATTGCTCCATTTGGTTACTGGCAGCAGGATTTGGAGGCCTGGTAGATTGTCCATTGTCCTCTGTGTGTCTGGGCTGGAAGGCCACTCTGTGCCCGAGCAGCTTGAGACTCAGGATGTCACGTTGTAATTAATGATGTCAAATTAATCAGCCTTAAGAACTAAATAATAGTGTTCTCAGTATCACTGGTTAGTAATCAAAAGCCTGTAAGTGGGTAATTGGTAACTTCCCCACTCTTCACTATGCTGTCTGAAAGGGATGTGATTGCGATCCCTCTCCCCTTCTCCCTCTCTCTTCCGCTTTTACTCTTTCCCCCTCTGCCCCCTGCCCCCTCTCCCCCCCCCACTCCCTCCTCTCTCTCTCTCTCTCTCTCTCTCTCTCTCTCTCAGGAGTGTGCAGGAGAGCCTCTGTTCATGCTGTACTGTGCCATCAAGCAGCAGATGGAGAAGGGGCCTATAGACGCAATCACAGGAGAGGCTCGCTACTCCCTCAGTGAGGACAAGCTCATCCGCCAGCAGATCGACTACAAACAGCTGGTAAGGAAAGACCCTCCTCCACACGCGCACACACACACACACACACACATACACACACACACACACACCTCTCATGTTTCATTTGAGTGTGGCCCAACGGAGCCAACCCCCTCAGTCCCAGGACAGCAAGATGAATCCATGTACTGATTCTCACTTAATGTGGTTGAAGAAGCAAAACAAACAGGAGGATGTTTAGCATTCTTTGCCATGGAAATCACCTGTCATGTTACTGAGGAAGTGATGTGGACCGTGGCTCCCCCATTGGCTGTGGGATACCAGTGTAGGCAGTGGTAGGAGACGGAGCTGGGGCTGAATGGGTGAGGGAGGGCTCTTGGAACGAACCCACTCAGCACTCAATCACACAATGACCTGCTGCGGGCCAGTAATGATTCAAACAAATCAAGCAATTTATTGTCTGCCCATAAACAAACCTTCCCACCACATCTCTCTCTCTCCCCAACGAGGCGGCCAAGCAGCACTGCCAGGAAATACTACACTTAAACAATTATTGATTTACTCACCGTCAGCAACCCATTGACTTCCACATAAAAGCGTCACACCCCACATTTGCGAATAAAAAATAGAAACAGCACAGGAATTCTCTAAATATTACCTCATATTAATTATTTATATGGAAAAATAGCAATACGCTGACTTAGTAGGATACACTGGTATCCCGCCCACTCCCACCCCTCGACTTCTCCATGAATCTGCATCCAAGGCCGTTCCTCACTCGCGAGCACACTGCCTGGTAAAACACTGCAGCATCAACTCAGGACAGTTTCATCTCTACCTCCTTCATAGGGATCAATAGAAGGAATGGCAGATGTCAGAGGAATTAGCCCTAAAGAGACAGATGCTCCCGGAGGAGCTGTCTATATCTCTGGCCCTGGGGAACCCCAGTAAAGGTCAACCCTATAGGACGGCTTTATGCCCCCTGCTTCCATATACCCTTAAATCACTCATAATCTGTACCACCTATGGATGATGGAGGCTCTGTTATCGATAAATCTAGGGCCATCTGTGCACACTATCGATAACTATCATTCATGGTTATCTCTTGTATCCCTTTAAATGGCATTATCTAAGACTGTCAACTTTACTGGGAAGTACTGCAGTATTTGATACTCTGATCCTATGGACCATAGATACACAGATCGGATAGATGTACAGTGCCTTCAGAAAGTATTCACACTCCTTGACTTTTTCCACATTTTGTTGCGTTACAGCCTGAATTTAAAATAGATTAAATTGAGATGTATTGTCACTGGCCTACACACAATATCCCATAATGTCAGTGGAATTATTATTTTTCTAAATATATATTTTTTTTACAAATTAATAAAAAATGAAACACTGACATTTCTTGAGTCAATAAATATTCAACCCCTTTATTATGGCAAGCCTAAATAAGTTCAGGAGTAAAAATGTGCTTAACAAGTAATATAATAAGTTGCATGGACTCCCTCTGTGGCCAATAATAGTTTTTATCATGATTTTGAATGACTACCTCATCTCTGTAAGAAGGGCACCTATTAGTAGATGGGTAAAAATAAAAAAGCAGACATTGGATATCCCTTTGTGCATGGTGAAGTTATTGGATGGTGTATCAATACACCCAGTCACTACAAAGATATAGGCGTCCTTTCTAAGTCAGTTGCCAGAAAGGAAGGAAAACGCTCAGGGATTTCACCATGAGGCCAATGATGACTTTAAAACAGTTAAAGAGTTTAATGGCTGTGATAGGAGAAAACTGAGAATGGATCAACAACATTGTAGTTACTCCACAATACTAACCTAATTAACAGAGGGGAAAAAAGGAAGCCTGTACAGAGTACAAATATTCCAAAACATGCATCCTGTTTGCAACAAGGCACTAAAGTAATACTGCAATAAATGTGGCAAAGCCATTCACTTTTTGTCCTGAATTCAAAGTGTTATGTTTGGGACAAATCCAATACAACACATTACTCAGTACCACTCGCCATATTTTCAAGCAAAGTGGTGGCTGCATCATGTTATGGGTATGCTTGTAATCGTTAAGAACTGGAGAGTTTTTCAGGATAAAAAAGAAACAGAATGGAGCTAAGCACAGGCAAAATCCTAGAGGAAAACCTGGTTCAGTCTGCTTTCCACCAGACACTGGGAGATGAATTCACCTTTCAGCAGGACCATAACCTAAAACACAAGGCCAAATCTACACTGGAGTTGCTTACCAAGACGACAGTGAATGTTGAGTGGCCGAGTTACAGTTTTGACTGAAATCTACTTGGAAAATATGGCAAGACCTGAAAATGGTTGTCTAGCAATGACCAACATCCAATTTGACAGAGATTGAATAATTTTGAAAATAATAATGGGTAAATGTTGCACACTCCAGGTGAGGAAAGCTCTTATACCCTTTTCAGACAAACGGAATGTGCTGTCTTGAAAGCGCCTCAGCTACGGCATGTTTGTTTGTCTGTAAGGGTACACTATAGCTTTTTAAATGCCAAAACGAAACCTTCTCTGGAGAAAGTTTCGAAGCGCAATTGAACAGGCATTTTACCTTTCTGTAAAGGAATGCCGCTTTTGAAGCGGGACTAATGTCCATCACTAGGCAACCAGAACTGTCAATCAAATAACCTCGAGCTGCCTGCGCACAGCCTGCCTATCTGCTGCCTGCACACAGATCACACTCTCCTAAAAAAGTATCTAGCTACCCTACCATAAAAAAACAGCATGAAAACAACACAACAGCACATCAATCAGCAACGTTTGTCGTTGTCAGGGAAACAATACAGAACATTCTATGCCGGAGCAGAATTCTACTGTCTGAAAAGGCATTTTTTTAATTGTCTGAAAGGTTATCAATTGTTGCTATCAACACATTACTGTAGCGGCGTTCTATATCTGTTAAGGGTATTAGAAACTTGCTGCCAAAGGTGCTTCTACAAACTGTTGACTCAGGGGTGTGAATAGTTATGTAAATTTAATATTTTTGTATTTCCTTTTCAATAAATGTGCACTTTGTCATTATGGCATATTGTGTGTAGATGGAAACAATTAAATTGAATCCATTTTGAATTCAGGCTGTAACACAACAAAATGTGGAATAAGTCAAGGGGTATGAATACTTTCTGAAGGCAATGTACCATCTTTTACCACCAAGATGCCCAAAATCATCCCTTGTCAGAACTCTGCTTGGCCTTGGACCTCCTCAAATGATGAGGATTCTCTGGTGCCTTGAGAATTCCTATAATTTGCTGTATAATTTGTTTTTAATCACAAATGCCCCACTTGTTAACTATTTCCAGTGCATGGCAAGGAGGAAATTGACTTTGCTAATGATCAGTGAGTGGCAGTGGTACAGATGTCTGTGGTACCCTGTGCCAGCTGCACACTGTGCTAATCACCTGATTAACGCACCCAGCCCACACCAAAGGTCTCCTCATGAATTTATATGGACTGGTAGCACAACGTGTACATGCCCAGTATATAAATACATTAGAAGGACCCCTCTACTCTCTGGTCACAATCATATACCTTTTTGGATGGATACTGCACCCAAGAGGCAACGTAGGTCATTTGATGGCGTTTAGTTAGTTTTAGTTAGTAGATTGTGTGAAAAATCAGTGCTTTTCCAATAGTCAGGATTCCTCTAGAGTAAATAGTGTTGAACACAGAAACCCCGTCAGGCCTGCAGCAAATAATTTTTTATCGTCTGTCAATATTAACATAGCAACATGGCACACTAGGCTATAGAAAGATATTAACCAGTAGACAATACAGAATCTATTATTCATGATAATCTCTGCATAGAGTTTGTATATGAACTCAGAGGATGGCCTCGTTGTGACACCACTCCTCTATGTTAGTTAATCTGTCAATGCAAGTTGCACATTAGGCTGAATGCATCTTCATTTGTTATAATGACAGTTTCCCAAATAGAGCCTGACTTCTCTATATTGTGACTGATTGAGCTGTGAAGGGGTGCCAGAACTGTTAAAAAGATATTATGCGTTTGCTCTCTATCCTCAATCTCCTCCTTTTAACTATGGCACATGGTGTCATATAAATCCTTGTTTGTAGTTAAATCAATGTCCTCTGTCAGTTTTTTATTGACCTGAGGATGGCTCATAAATGTGTCCTCCAGATCGCTTTAATTCTTCGCTGATTGTCTTCAAACAGATGAAATCTTCATTATCGACAATGCAGTTAATATATCTGGGGGGACTATTGATAAAATAGCATTTAAAGTGATTCATGAAAAACAAACACCTGAGGAAATTGCAGTCAAAATCTCTCTCTTTATTTAATGAGATTGAACAGTACTTTAACGACTAGTAAGTCTTTTTTAAACCTCCCGCTTTGGGATGGATGTGTCAATGTGTAGTTCATACATGCATAATATATGAGCAGAATTACAGATTTACCTCAATTAGCCACGAAATCCCTAGTTTGAAAGCGACTGTTTTCTGGAAGCTGTGCAGCTCAATTTTTGCTACATTTCAGCCCACGTGCGCCAGCCCCCTAGTCATTCGAGTTTCAACCAATGAGCTTGCTGCTAGCAAAAGGCCTGCCCAGCGTTATCCAATGTGGTTGCAGGGCGGGCCCAACGGCTCAGTGGACACAGCAGAGAGCGATAGAGAGAGCAATGACGTGGTGCACATATCTGCTCATATGTGACGTTGTATGTAATTCTCGGGGACCACTTTCGGCTCGTGAGTGCTACTTTCAAAATTACTGGCAGAAATTATGCAAAAGTTTGACAATGTACTGACAGCCCTGTGGTTTCTCCCTCCTCAGACTCTGATGTGTATCCCTCCGGAGGGCGAGGCAGGCACGGAGGTCCCGGTGAAGGTGCTAAACTGTGACACGGTCACTCAGGTCAAGGACAAGCTGCTGGACGCTGTATACAAGGGCATTCCCTACTCCCAGAGACCCCAGGCTGACGACATGGACCTTGGTAAGAACCAGTGCATTCGGAAAGTATTCAGACCCCTTGACTTTTTCCACATTTTGTTACATTACAGCCTTATTTTAAATTGGATTAAATAAATACAAATTCTCATCAATCTACACACAATACCCCATAATGACAAAATGAAAACAGGTTTTTGGAAGTTATTGCAAATGTATTACAAAAAAAAACAGAAATACCTTATTTACATAAGTATTCAGACCCTTTACTCAGTACTTTGTTGAAGTACCTTTCGCAGCGATTACAGCCTCAAGTTTTATTGGGTATGACGCTACAAGCTTGGCACACCTGTATATGGGGAGTTTCTCCCATTCTTCTCTGCAGATCCTCTCAAGCTCTGTCAGGTTGTATGGGGAGCGTCGCTGCACAGCTATTTTCAGGTCTCTCCAGAGATGTTCGATCGGGTTCAAGACCGGGCTCTGGCTGGGCCACTCAAGGATATTCAGAGACTTGTCCCGAAGCCGCTCCTGCGTTGTCTTGGCAGTAGAATGGCCTTACTGAAGAGCTCAGTGACTTTCAATGTGGTACCGTCATAGGATGCCACCTTTCCAACAAGTCAGTCCGTCAAATTTCTGCCCTGCTAGAGCTGCCCCGGTCAACTGTAAGTGCTGTTATTGTGGACGTCTAGGAGCAACAACGGCTCAGCCGCGAAGTAGTAGGCCACACAAGCTCACAGAACGGGACCGCCCAGTGCTGAAGTGAGTAGTGCTTACAAATAATCTGTCCTCGGTTGCATCACTCAGTACCATGTTCCAAACTGTTTCTGGAACTGTTTGTCGGGTGTTTCATGAAATGTGTTTCCATGGCCGAGCAATTCCAAGCATCGGCTGGAGTGCTGTAAAGCTCGGCGCCATTGGACTCTGGAGCAGTGGAAACGCGTTCTCTGGAATGGTAAATCACGTTTCACCATCTGGCAGTCCGACGGACTAATCTGGGTTTGGCGGATGCCAAGAGAACGCTACCTGCCTGAATGCATATTGCCAACTGTAAAGTTTGGTGGAGGAGGAATAATGGTCTGGGCCTGTTTTTCATGGATCAGGCTAGTCCCCTTAGTTCCAGTGAAGGGAAATCTTAACGCTAAAGCATACAATGACATTCTAGACGATTCTGTGCTTCCAACTTTGTGGCAACAGTGGAAGGTCCTTTCCTGTTTCAGCATGATAATGCCCCCATGCACAAAGCGAGGTCCATACAGAAATGGTTTGTCGAGATCGGTGTGGAAGAACTTGACTGGCTGCAGAGAGCCCTGACCTCAACCCCATCTAACACCTTTGGGATGAATTGGAACGCTGACTTCGAGCCAGGCCTAATCGCCCAACATCAGTGCCCAACCTCACTAATGCTCTTGTGGCTGAATAGAAGCAAGTCCCTGCAGCAATGTTCCAACATCTAGTGGAAAGCCTTCCCAGAAGAGTGCAGCAAAGGGGGGACCAACTCCATATTCATGAATTAGATGTTCGACGAGTAGGTGTCCACATACTTTTGGTCATGTAGTGTATCTATGTCTATGGCAGTGTTTCTTAACCCCAAGGGGTGCACATTTTTGCTTTTGCCCTAGCACTACACGGCTGATTCAAATGATCAATTAATAGTCAATATTTTGAATCATGAGTGAAGGGCTAAGGAAAAAACTAAAATGTGCAGGACCAAGATTAAGAAACACTGGTGTATGGTAATAACAGCCTCGTAGACTACAGACATACTCACTCTTATGTGAAGGTTGTCTTCATTACTGTGAAGGATTTATTGTAACTAATTGCATCATTGGCTAATAGTGATTCCCTGTTGAAACTAAAGATACAGGTTAAACTAATCAGATCAAACCAATCTTCTGTTGTTCCTCACAGAGTGGCGACAAGGTAGACTGACCAGAATTATCCTTCAAGATGAGGACGTCACCACGAAGATCGAGAGTGACTGGAAGAGGCTCAACACCCTGGCCCACTACCAGGTCAGACAGCATCACCAGCTGGACACATCCACATAATACTCATTCACATTACTCACACACAAAGACAAATACTATCATATTGATGGTCATTCATTTAATGATACAATATTAAAGATCTCTCCTCCTCCAGGTGACCGATGGTTCTCTGGTAGCCTTGGTCCAGAAGCAGGTCTCAGCCTACAATATTGCTAACTCATTTACCTTCACCCGCTCTCTGAGCCGCTATGGTACGTATCAATGACCCTTTCAGTTTTTCCATACCTACTGTATGAAAGCCCACCCCCACCCAGCCTCCTACAGTATCTGACTGTGTGTCGTCGTGTTTCCAGAGAGCCTCCTGAGGACGTCCAGCAGCCCAGACAGCCTGCGCTCCCGGGCCCCCATGATCACCCCTGACCAGGAGACTGGCACCAAGCTCTGGCACCTGGTCAAGAACCACGAGCACGCTGACCAACGGGAGGGCGACCGCGGCAGCAAGATGGTGTCTGAGATCTATCTCACCCGCCTACTGGCAACCAAGGTCTCTTTTCGTTGTATTTTTGTGAATTATCTCATAATGTATCATGACAATGTATCATTGCCAGGCACACATTCCTTTCTTGGACACTGTGTTAACACCACTTGTCTGATCACCCTACAGGGAACTCTGCAGAAGTTTGTGGATGATTTGTTTGAGACAGTGTTCAGCACGGCTCACCGCGGCAGTGCCCTCCCTCTGGCCATCAAGTATATGTTTGACTTCCTGGATGAGCAGGCCGACAGGAGGCAGATCACTGACCCGGACGTCCGCCACACCTGGAAGAGCAACTGGTGAGCACAGAGTGACCTCTCTGTCTGCCCCTGTTTCTTATAGCTGCCCCTTAAATAAGCCAATGGAACCCAAGCTGTATCTGTGCATTTGGTCAAAGTCTCAGTCTGTCTCAGTCTTCTTGGCTGTTTGAAATGGCCACTAATGAATCAGAGCTACTAGCCTTCCCTGAATGGCACAGGCATACTCATAAGCCCACTCCATGATCAACTTTTCAAAGGAGGGAGTAATGACAAGAATTATGTGCAATTTCCTGTTCTTTCTCAGCCAAAGGGAGTTTTTCCCTCGCCACTTTTGCTTTCAGCTTTCTTTTTATAAAGGTGTAGAACTGAGTCTTTTTAGTCAAGTGTTTTATGACAAATGACTAAAATGTGACAAATGGAATATAGATTTAATACATTCAGATTCATAAGATTGTACCATACTGTACCATGACTGTGACTGCTTTTATTGTCTCAAAGCTCTGAGTGGTCCACAATGTGGTTTTTAAAATCTATTGTATCATTGTGTAGTGACACTTTAATAAATTTTTCTAATTCTAACTCTAAGATTCCCTTATAATAGTCCCAACCTTTTTCTCCTACTGTTTCTCTGCTTTCTCTCTATCTGACAGTCTGCCCCTGCGTTTCTGGGTGAACGTGATCAAGAACCCCCAGTTTGTGTTTGACATCCATAAGAGCAGCATCACGGACGCCTGTCTGTCTGTGGTGGCCCAGACCTTCATGGACTCCTGCTCTACATCAGAGCACCGCCTGGGCAAGGACTCGCCCTCCAACAAGCTGCTCTACGCTAAAGACATCCCCAACTACAAGAGCTGGGTGGAGAGGTACGATTTCAGTTACCATCAATCTTATTTGCTGTCATATCGACTTTTATCTCAAAGAGTCAAACACTGAGTACTCTTGTGTCTCTTTGCTTCTGTCAGGTATTACAGAGATATCAGTAAGATGCCCACCATCAGTGACCAGGACATGGATGCCTATCTGGTGGAGCAGTCTCGTCTCCATGGCACCGAGTTCAACACTCTTAGTGCTCTCAGTGAGCTCTACTTCTACATCAACAAGTACAAAGAGGAGGTAAGAGGCATGGGCCAATCGTGTGCTTTATTAGTCCTCATATTGTAAAAGTGCAACTTATTTTATACCTAAATGTAATGCAATTAACGTTCTTATTAATGTTGAGAAATTATTTATCTAACTCTTCTGTTCAGATTTTGACAGCACTGGACAGGGATGGGTACTGCCGCAAACACAAGTTGCGACACAAACTGGAACAAGCCATTAACCTTATGTCGGGCAGCAGCTGAGGGCAGAGGATGGAACAGGGGGTCAGGGGTCGGGGAGAAAGGGGGAGAAAAGGGGGGTTTGGTTGAACTGGTGAACGGACATGTGTTGGAACATCCACAGCTTGTGCTAGTAAAAATGAGGACATAAGACACTGGACAATCAACACAACGAACCACAGCACAGCACATTAAGCCCAATGTCTACTGACCAGATTCTGTGCCCAATATCCTCACTCCCTCAAACCTCTACCTGCCATTGCCAGTGAAACATTCTGAGTATTTTTTTTCTCCACACTGGCCTTTTCAATGAAATACTCTTTAGTAACTGCCTAATCTAATGGAAGAGGACTGCTGTGGATACTACGAGATACATTCCAATAGAGGCATACAGTAAGTTGCCTTGGAAACTGTTCTGAATTGCCAAGCTAGTGCCATGGGAAGAGTAGCTTTTGGTCTGGGATAATAATTGTACAAAATGCTGAAAAGTAACATTTAGGTGTGGACTGTGGATTTGATCTTGAAATGTATGGGTCTTACCACAAGTATGGTAAGGTACAAGTAGTAGACCATAACCTATTGGCCTCAAAGGAAAGCTTTGAGGCTCTGTTTTGTTGTGTTAGGGTTGGAGGTTTGATGCCAGTGCGTGATGAATGAGGCAGTGTATGGACAAAAGAGACCAAATTCTGGAAGCACCAGAGGCCTAATTAAGTGACATAAATTGAGGGGAGTGTTGGGGCTGGGCTGAGGGTGGGTCATCCCCCTCGTCTCTCAAATGCCATAGCTACAAAGCGCCTTTTTATTTTGCTTTATTTTTTTGTTCTTGAAATTCGGGGCCAAATGGACCTTTGCTGATGGTGAGGCTCAGCTCAGAGTCCAGCGTTTTAAAGCTTGCCTTTGTGTTGCATTCAAGCAGGAAGTGAAGCCCTCTCCTCATAGATGTTCCACCCCTACTGTAACTGACCAGCTAATTGTACTTAGATCCCTGTGTCAGTCTGCACCACTGTGAATCTGATCTGTCAGGATCTGAGGAATTCCCATCCAGAGCCCAGGGCCACTGCTGTTGTGGAAACAATTTTTACCCATATCAAGCATCCTAAATCTAATCGATCCGTCACGAGCAATACGTCTAGTTCTAAAACAGAAAGCCATGTTTCATTAGATTACACTAAACCAATAGTTATGTTAGAGGCTCTCTATCTTGAGATGATCATTCTGTGGAGTCATCTTTCTGTTCCAGATTTTTGCCATATTGCAAATGACAGCTTGAACAAAATGTGTAATGCAACACCAAGCACAACAGACAGGGGACTCCTCTGCTAGGAGGAAATACAGTCTGGTGGTCTTATACCTGAATATTATTTGAGTACATTTACATGTGGTTTTGAGTTCGGCCCTATCCAATGATGAAGTATTTATTGTTTTGTCTTTATTTATTTCATATTTATTTACATTTTACACAAGAATGTAAACTCTTGTTTTGTGCAGTTTTAGTGACTGAACACAGTTAGTGTGCTCTGTACTGTCCGATAGGCTGAGTGTGTAACATGGCTGCAGGAGTCTTTTTGATGCCAATTCCCTCACAGGACCGGGTTCATTTAGGATACATCATAGATTCAGTAAATAACAGAATTCCTTCACATCCATAACTGAAAAGTAAACTTTTGATCGCCACGTCTAGTGTTTGGTGACAACAGTGAGGAATGCAGACTGACCAAAGGAGGCACAGAGAATAATCAAATGATCACTCTCTTGTCTTTGGGTTGAATAATGCTGTAAGGCTTGACCCACATATTATAGTACATGTTAACCATAGATTATATAATGTTTAAAAATTCAGGTACAAACATATCTTTAAAATAGTTTTAATTGAATAGGATAAAGCCTCAAATTACAATGTTCCCAATAACTAATGTTAGACAAATATGTATTTGTGCTACTAAAGCCAGAGGTTTGTGGTAGTCCTGGCCCTGAATATAAATATTTCAGTATAACTAACAGTTATTTTTATCCATCAAGTCCTGAAAGATTAAATACAATCTATTGTTAGTAAATTAAACCAATACTTTGGTCTATCAGTGTACAGGTCTTAATCCTCTAGATGCTGGCAGGGTGTTGTTTTGCATTGTGACCTTTAACACGATGATGCTCTGTTTAGATGTAAATGAAATGGATCTGAAACAAACTCATTACTGTAGAATAATTAGGCTTGCTTATCAGCCCAGGAACAAAAGAGCCATTATTATATATTTTCATAACCCATCACACATTTCATTAAATCCACACCAGGAGAGAGAGAGACACGTTTTTCTACATGGAAGATGCACATTGTAGATAAGCTCCAAATCAATTTAGAATTTGGCCTTGGAACTCTGAGGGAAATACATTTTCAAATAAAACTGGAGCTCATTAGCATGTTAAGAGCTGCAGGAGGATAATTAAGGAGAATGGGTTTCAACATCCTGGTGTTATTTTGGGGCAGAGAAATTGGGTCAGTGTATCTGGATCTAGGTCTGGGGGTGGATTTCACCTTCCACCATATGTGAAAATGACTCAGTCAGAAATGACTGCCAACTTGCCAGAGCTGGCCTTTCAGCATTGCAGGTGTATTACAGATATCAAAGCTCTGCTTGAGCCACTTTACAAAATTAAAGCTTAATCTGGAAGAGAAGTCTTGAATTTTGACTTAGTACCTCTTGGTTAACGCCATCTCATAGGGTTTGAATCTGGTTGCAATCTACCCACATAAGTAAACAATTAAAATAGTAAGTGCAACAAGGTATCAGGTTTTTGGGGTGAAATCTGTAATCATATCCAAAGTACAGTTTGGCTGCCTGCCATATGTAACCGGTGTGAAATGGCTAGCTAGTTTAGCGATGCGCGCTAGTAACGTTTCAATCGGTGACGTCACTCGCTCTGAGACCTTGAACTAGTTGTTTCCCTTGCGCTGCAAGGGCGGTGGCTTTTGTGGCGCGATAGGTAACAATGCTTCTTGGGAGGCAGTTGGTGATGTGTTCAGAGGGTCTCTGGTTCGAGCCCAGGTTGGAGCAAAGAGAGGGACGGAAGCAACACTGTAACATTGATGCTGTTGACTTGGATCACTTAGTTGGGTTCTACCCAGCTGCTGTGGTTGCTGCAGAGCAGGAGGTCAAAGGGGGGTGAGTGTAACCGATGTGAAATGGCTAGTTAGCGGTGCGCGCTATTAGCGTTTCAATCAGTGATGTCACTCGCTCTGAGACCTTGATGTGGCTTTTGTGGAGCGATAGGTAACAATATTTCTTGGGAGGCAGTTGTCGATGTGTTCAGAGGGTCCCTGTTTCGAGCCCAGATTGGGGCAAAGAGAGGGACGGAAGCAACACTGTTACACATACATCATATGTAAACTAGTGAAGGGCCAGGTGATTAGGCTGTAGAACAGAGCCGCGGCCGTACGTCTGGTTTTGTAATGTTGTATAAACAGCAACATAAAAAAGCACCTGTAACATGTAAGGAAGAAAAGAGTGAGTGCAAACTTGTGATGTTTCTAAGTAGATACTGTAGAAGCTATGTCAGTTTTAGATCCATAACTACATTTCAGTCAGTGTTCTAGTAAAAAAGTTAAACATTTGTCTCAGATAAATTAATTCTAATTTATTTGTTGGTTTTGTCTGTTTGTCCCAAATGTTTTAATCGATTTAATGTAACACATTTCTTTACAGCTTCAAAGATATATGGAATTGATTAACTTTGTCTGGAGAGAAAGTAGCTTTGTGACTGACTGACGAATGGATGATTGCTCTGCCTAGTCCTTAATTCTATATAAATATATAAATATATTTTGTATAATTATTTGTTTAAAATGTTTCTTTTTAAATTATTATTTTTGTTTTTATATTTTATTTCGTTAGTTTGAAGGAGTTGTAGTAATGAGTCCTTTAAACGCTGGCTGCAATGAAGTGTTTTGTATATATTTGCACTTTTTTTTACTCAGTCAGAGGTTTTTAAAAGATTGGATTCTAACTTAATGTTGAAATGACAAGCATGGTGTTTTGTTTTGCTAATTAAAATATGTGGATGATGCTGTATGTTCTTGAATGTTTTATTTGTGTACTATCCTCAAGGATTATTTTCTCTGAACAACTCAATGTTTGAATTCAAATAAAGGCAAGTGTTTTAGTAAAATATCCACAAAGATTATCCAAAGTGGACCACATATATGAAATTCAGCGTCCTTACTTTGCTCCTTCAGTACTCAAAATACTGTTACAATACTAACAGAGGAGATCAAATCACAGTCTAAGAATTTTACACTTGAAATGACCAGTGGTGCAGTGAGAATGTTCATATGAATACATATTCTGTTTTTATCATCTTTTTAAAAGATTGCAAATCTATCCCACCTTTCAGATTATCATCTCTCTATCATGAAAGGGGGAAGATTGTGCATTCTTCTCTGCCTTCCTGGATTAAAAGCAGGGCAGAGGATTTGGTAAACAGATCAGAGAGAGAAATGGGATTGCAGACTGTTTTATGTACAGGGATTTCCATATTCACACTTCATAAAAAACAGATGAATTAATCTGGGCCTGACACATAAAGATGGGCACTTGTGGTACAGGTATGCATGGAAACAGTATCTAGGTGTGGAATATTTAGAAAAAAATAGTACCAGAATCCTCAACTTCATTAATTAGGACAGCAGATCAAAGATGTAGAACATCAATCAGGATAGTAAACAAAGCTGAAAAACTGGTAATTACAACCATATTCCCCCTAGAACATTAATCAAATTGTCAAGGTGGGATGTTATTCATATTAGTGGTTGTGAATTGATATACGTTTTCTATTTTTGTTATATCAACCTTTAACAGTCTTTATTAGTAATTTGTATAAGGATGATGTTTGATGACATTGACTATCTCAGATTGACGGACCAGTCGTAGCATATTTCCTACAACCATCTACAGTTCAGTAGCCTATATGGAAATAAGTATTTGACCCCTCTGCAAAACATGACTTAGTACTTGGTGGTAAAACCCTTGGTG